GTACCCCGCGAGGTGCTGGAGCCCGGCCCGTGCGGGAGCCCGGCGTGATCCCGGCTCCCCTCCCTTCCGCAAGCGTCACGCGCCCGGAACGGCGACACGGAGCCAACGTCGGCAGATCCGCTCCAAGTTACCTATTCCTCGTCCTGTCTCAGTGGTCAAAAGCATTTCTTCCTTCTGTAGGCAGCCTGTGTGTGTGTGGCGCGCGGGCAAGTAAACCATTGGATCTGGCAGAGATTCCATGAGTATGTGTAATTTTAAAACAAACATACAAAAAATAGTAGTATCACAGTTATTGCTACATACTGATACAGTATCAGACAATAAGAAACCCTTTATGAGCTCTGGTCTGGTTATAGTAATTGCCTGGTTTCAGTCTTCCTTATTCTTCTGCTGTAGTATTTAATCAGAAGAACAAATAATTGAAATACAGAGAGTAAAAATTTTTTAAAAGACAAAATCAGGCTTAGAGACAGTGAGGTTTGTTTAGAAAAGAGGTCTGGGGTGACATATTACAAATAGCACAATGATTATTTTCAGTGCACTGTTGCCTCTTACTTCCCCCAAATAAAAAACGAAGCAAACGCAGCCGGCGGCGGTGCCCTCCACACACACAGCCAGGCTGCATTCGCGGCGCAAAACGAGGAGTGCTAAAAACTTCAGCTCTTTGGTTGGACCCGTTTTGTTCCTCTCAATGCAGGTTTCATTGGAAGTTAAGTACTTCTACCCCAAGAGAAAAACAAAAACCCCGGGGAAAGGATGCAAGATGCCTCCGAGTTGAGTGTGGTGCGGCTTTTCTCACCAGCACCTCTGCCCCGGAGGATCGGGAAGTTGGATAGGACCCACGGAGGAACGAATCCCACTTTCCTAAAGTTAGGCTCAATTGCAAGCCAGCGGTGAGGTTTGGGCCTGAACGGTTGGGCACAGGCAGGCAGGGTTGCTACTTCTGGGGAAACGGGGTTAAATTAGGCCTTTCTGGAGTCACTCTATGACCCTTCCCTGCCAACTTAGCTCCAGCTCAAATGTGGAGCTAATCTCAATCAAAATTTTTGCTGAGTGCCAGTAAGAGCAAGTGACTCGTACCCCGTTTTTACGAAAAAGCTCACAAAGTTTGTGCAAACCACTAACTAGCTCCTGGTTTTGAGGGAGAAAACAAAAAAGATCAAATCAAGAAGGGTTTCAAGTGCACCAAAAGCAGAGCCGAGTAATTCGTACTCTGCTAGTTCCTACATAAATACAAGGGATGAGGAAAGTTGTTCTTTGTGAGGCGAAGCGTAGCCCCAGCTTGGCGCACCGAGGAAGCGAGGAGCGGATCCCCGGGAGCTCGTTGCTCCGCTCAGCGCTCGGCTCTCAGCCGCGATGGTCTGGAAAAGCAACGCGAAGCGGCACCGGGGAGCAGGAAGGGAGGGAGGATTCCCAAGAACTGTGCTCGCTGTAGCGAAACCCTGGCTACGAACTCACGAGGCGAATGCTCCTGACCGTGTCACACCTGAAGGGCACTTAATGGCTCCGGCATCTCTCCCGCACGCGGTTACCCGAAACGCACGCGCGCTTTCAGCGTAATCCTTCGTCGCTGTAAATCGTGCGCTGGAATGAAAGCGTATCTGGAAACGTTAATTCAGAGATATCGTCCTACAGCTCCTGGCAGCGGCCCCCGGTAAAAATAAATGGTTTATAAACACAGTCTGACATGCATGAGCCTCTCAAAATTATTTACAAGTGATGTCCCAGGAGCCTCGTTCCAAGGAAGGGCTTCTCCTTGGCTCAGTTTGGGCATGAAAACCCACGGGACGGGACGGGGCAGGAAGGTCACACTGTCACCGCCGGGTACATCTTCTGCTCGGCGCCGGCGTGTGGGAACGGGGACTGGATCTGCCGGTAGGCGCCCTGCAGGCCGTCCAGGAAGGGGGGCACGGGCGCGAGGGGCATGGCGTCGTGCTGCACCGCGTAGCCCACGTACGGCGCGTGCAGGTACTGGCCCTGGTGCGGCACGATCTGCGTGGCCTGCTGGCAGTTGAGCACCGAGAAGTTGGTGGGCATGTTGACGTAGACGTTGTTCATGGCGCCCTCGGGCAGGCAGCAGTTGGTCTGCGAGCGCGTGGGCGGCGCGCGGGCCCCCGAGTTGGCGCTGGAGCTGGAGCTGGCGGCGGCGCTCGACTGTCGG